ACTGCGGCCTCAACATTGCTCTTGAATCTTTCCAACCTTGATGATCCAAAGTGAATATCCCCTTACCCAACAAAGCCCCCAAAAAATCAATTCGATTACCAATATCAAAGTCATGAAATTGGGTAGCCAAGATGGCTTTGATATTTTCCGGATCTTTAGTAAACACAAGTGGTGTGCCAAACATAAATGACTTGACTGTGGGCACTTGGGGATGTGGTGACTGGTCATATATCGATTGATAAAATTCAGGTGATTTTCCATTGGCTTTGGCAATGACTGATCTTTTACCAAGACCAAATCCAAAAAACCCACCATTGACGGAGTTTGTAAATGGTTTGGCCCCGAGTTTGCGCATAATAATTTGAGAATGGATGTAGATGATCAAGACATGGATCAACACAACTGATGGGATGATTAAATACCAGTATGCAAGAACATTGGGTAAATTGAACAAATACATCATGAGCACGACTGGTGTAGGTGTTATTCTCAAAGTGAGGCTTGTAGTGTGTAGTGGAAGTGGTAAAAAACACTATTTTATGATAAAGTAGTTCTGCCTGTGATGTGATCAAGTCTATTGATTTTGCAATGAAGGAGACTCTAGTTGCCGTATAAGGAACTTAAAAGACCAATTCCGACTCTTCTTGTGTCTTCGATATATACTCGTGCTAAAGAATGCTTTATATAGAAACGGTAATTTATTCTCCTCCTTTTGTAACTGACCGTCTCTCTTTCTCTCTCCCCCCCTCCCCCCTTGAATAGCTTTGTGTAATAGAAATTCAGTGCGACATTTACGAACATCCTTCTCCACGCAGATTGTATCACGTGTGAAATAGATACTCTAGTATTTACCAAATAGGCAGACAACAGCCCATCTTCTTCTCTGTATATTTCTAGAGGTAGTCAGATGTGAAGGCTATATGCAAGTAGTGAAACCTACTGTTCAAGCTGGATTCTCTCTCTCTCCTTACCAACAAGATATAATTCTTCTACTTAATCTCTGTCGATCTCCATAAAAGACACCTATATAGACTCAAATAAATAGCAAATTGAAATTTCAAACCTCCAAACAGCTAACGACTCTTTGGCACTCCATTATTTTTCCATTTTAACGTAAACACCATTAAGCATGCACATAGTCAAATGGGTCATCTTTTTAGGTGGATAGGAGTAGCCATCTTGCAAT